CGTCTTGAATTTGTACTGCCCCCGTCTTCTACCGACGTCGATACCACACGCGACAACATTGACGCAGATGTCGCAGTGCGGCCAGGTAGGTCATCCAATCAGCCACTGCGATGCGACTCCCTTGTCACTTGCGCTGTTGCCGGGCAGGTGTACAGCCAAGCCACGATATGCTGCGCTATCTCGACGCAGGTTGGAATATTGCACAGCGGACACTCCAAAAATGTTGTCGATGCATCCCGTCGGGCAAGGCGTGTGAAGATGGATTAATCTGGTGGGACGACGATCTTCAGTGGTCTGCTCAAGTGGTATGTGCGACTCACAGTGGGCGACCCGCCTGGTCACCTCGGTGAGGTGTGTGGAGGGATCCACTTTCGTCGCTGGCAAATGCCCGAAAGTGGGCCTTCTCGGTGAGGCCATCCAGCCAGAGAAGCTTGCTCCAGGGCCAGCCAACCTCATCGGATCAATCATCTCACCTGCCATCCACGGCACCGCTTGGCAAAAGTCAGAAAGCACTTACGAACGCATACCTTCCTGCTGCAATTTGGAAGTCCAAAAAAATCATCGCAGGAACCACATACTCCCCTGCCGACGTGGCTTGCAGAAGGCGTCAGCTCCCGATTTAGTTGGGGCTCCATACCTCGAGGCCGTGGTACAGACAACTGCAGAATGTCGACCGAATCATTAGCTAATTCACCACTCCAGACGCGGGACATGCTCGCAAATTATTCCCGGCACGAAACATCACGAGCAGACACCTGATTTCAGGAAACACCATCACAGCCCATGACACAGTGAGCAGTGGTCTGCGGCCAATCATCATTACTTCTTACGCCACCGAGAGCGGCTGCCAAGTCACACAGATGATTTCCTCCGCAAGCTTTCGTTATGCCTACGCCCCGCATCCCGTCGTTCTCTCACCCACATCTCCTTCGGATCTCTTTCGGCCCCCCGCCACCATCGTTGTCAGCGCGCGGCATTCCATTCAACTGGTTCAATCCCGGCGCCCTCCACGACTTGGTCCCTAGCCGCCAGCACGCCGCCCAGCTCGCCGCCCAGTTCGCCACCTGCGCTCGGCAGGAGGTTGGCGTCGTGCACACTCCACTCCGTTGCCTACGTCGGCAGGTCTGCTCCGCCCACCAGTCGACCTTGGTGCCCGCGTCTTCGACATCTCTCGAATCAGGCCCGCGCGAGACAGCATGGAAGACGCGCATCGACGTGTCGGCCCCCCGGCCTCTATGGATCCGGTGGTGCGAGGACGAATTGCTTGTGTATTCCGACCGACCGACCGAATCGTGCCCGGATCGCTGGGCAGCCAATCAACTCGATCAAGGGTCTGGGCACCTTCACCTCCTACTGCATCCAGGGAAAGACCACCACGATCATTGCCGAATGCAGGACCACGATCATGGCCTCCCGTGGGAATTTGGGAGTCTGTGAGTATTCATCACGCATCGCAGCCCGCCTCGGCAACGATGCGACAGGGAGCTAATGGGAAGTCGAGGTCTTTGTCAGTGGTTGGGAAGAATCTGGCGTGATGGGGACTTGCCGTGTGGTCGTGAATGAACGTCGACAGGAACTGTCGACGTGCAAACTCGGGATACAGCGCGTACATGTTCAGTACCGTCACGGAATGTGCTTGCAAATGCTGAAGACCGACCTTCGCTTGGAGACGGACTCAGCAACCATGTGGTCAAGCCTGGCGCGGATCGAACAACTCGCTTTGAATGGCGTCGAGGTCGACGCTGCCGATGGGCCTGATCCTGCTAAGAGCTTTAGGGAGATTGGCAGGACTTGAAGGCGACTTCCGAACGAGAGCTGATTGGACAGGGTCCTAGACTCCTCGTCGGGTGTCTTTGCGTGTCTGTTCAAGACAGGTAAGCGACAATCTTTTCGAAGGCAGCATTACATTGACTTGCAGATCTTCTGATTGATTCGAAGTCGTCGCTGACCATGTCAATGTCAAAGAAAGAACGCAACGCTTCGACAACCCATGTTTGTCGCCGTCGATGATTGATACAAGCGAAGGGGGCTTGAGCTGAACATGAATGCGGCCGAATACGTAGCGTCAACAGACGTTTGGTATGGAAAGATGTTTCAAAATCCAGAGTTGGAAGTCCACAGCGAACCACCTTCTTTCGCCTTTTTCTCTTCGCTATTCACAAGCCCTGGCCCTTGTCCCATCTCCCCTTTCTAGAACGGAGCTCCAGTTGCCCTCCATTGATTCTCCAATTCCTCCCCAAATGAAGTCCAAACGTAGGTCAGGGGCAATATCCACGACCAGCTCCAAGTGGAAGATCAAGATCGGCGGGGTTAGCTCCAGATCCACGATCAAGTTCCAGAGAATAGCGAGCCCAAAATGACAGACAAAAACCCAGCCGACTTTTCTTTTTCTGCGAGTCCATAAGAAGAGGCGTCGGTTACGTGTGTGCGAAGCTTCTATAACGGGGGCTCAAGCTCATTCCTCGGGCAGCCAGGGCCAATCCGCGGTGTTGCCGGTATCATTAAAGAAAGCAGCAGCCTGCAGCAGTTAGAAAGTTGGGAAACAGAACGCTTGAAACCTCACAGGCACAGCTTCTATACCACACAATTCATCGAGTACTTGGAGCACGGAAGGCTCAGAGGACTTTTGGTAAATGGATCCAGACGGAGTGATTGAAGGTAAAAGGAGGGGATCGGAGATTGAAGCCGGTCAGCCGAAGCAGGGAGAAAGAAACGCTGAAGTGGTGCATCTGAATCTATCACTCCAACTACTCGGCATCCTCAATTTCTAATGAAAAGCTTTACGGACGAGGAATGTGTTCCCGTTCGACCAGAGAGGGAGGTTCGCTTACCATCTCTGTTTGAAGCCGAACCAAGGAGATTCAACTGGACGAGACGCGTTATGGGGGACTGTCGATAGAAAGCCGTTTCAGTACTCGGCCGTTGCCCTTACAGCGGCGCGAACTTCTCGTGTCCGTCCCAGAGGCTGATGAGGAGCGATCTCTCGCCAACCCACGGCGAACGCGCGTGCTGCTCTCAGTTGTCAGCCGATTGAACCCAACCTAAGAAACATCAGTCTTGCGGAACGCTACCTGAACCGTGTAATTATCCAGCAGCGCGACATCGCCTTCTTCCCACGGAACCAAAAACTGAATTTCGTCGCCAATCTCGAGTAGTCGCTCCAGATACTCGGGCGGAATCTCGCTGTCGTCGCCGTACGTCGTCGGCAGGTGATATCGCCCGTCGGGCCCGCGATGCGGCGGATCGAGAGCCTGCTGGTCGCGCATGCGGCCAAAGACGCCCGCCAGGCCGTTGAAGAATGTGAGCTTGCCCGTCGAGGCGACCCTGCGGATGGCGGGTACCCTGGAGAGAACGACGAGCGAGCCGTCGCGTTGCCACTCGCCCTCGACATGGAGACGGTCGGCGAGGAACCTTTCGACTTTGGCCCTTGGACCTCGAGCGTGTCGCCCTCTTTGATTTCGTGACCGTACGAATCCTATGAATTTGTGTGAGTTGTTCAGCTGTAGATCACGTCCGAAAAGGCGCGACTTGCCTTCCAGTTCCAGCCGACTTTCTTCCAGTCAGGGTCATCTTTTGATGGGTAGTATTGACGCCCGATGACACCTGGGCGAGAGTATTAGCCGCGCCAAGTCATGGAATGCCCTTGTATGTTCTGTTTTCACCTTTTTTCTTCAAGTCTCCAATAAAGTCTGACAACTCTTTCTCAAGTCTATCACACAACTCCAGTGAAGACAACAACGGAGTCTGGCCGCCTAATAACCTTGTTAGATCCCGAGAAGCAGCATACTGTGTGTAGGGGATTGACACATACCTTGTTGAGGGACCTTCTCTGAGAAGAAGAACAGCACACCTGGGAAGTTTGCAGACCGGCCATACTCATTGTGGAAATAGAACCGGGCGGTTGGAGGTTCTTCGTTGGCCGTCTTGACCGTCTCTGAGATGGTGGTTCGCTTCCTAGAGAGACCGATTTCCCGGTGAAGGTTGGGCAGGCCGAAGGCATGCACGAACTTTGAAAAGTCGCCCGCGTCTTTCAACGGAAAGCCGCGGAAGAGAATCGCGCCGTCTACGGGTATCAGCTCATATGCATGATTGAATCGAGCACTGGGGAGACCAACGGTCTGTTAGGAGTTTGTTGACGATGTTCTTGTCCGCCAAAGCCTTCAAGTGGGAGATGGCGTCATCAATGTCAATGAATGACTGCCCTTTCTTGACCCGAATCCCAAGAGGAAAGTCCTGGCCGTGTACTGTGCGGCTTCCGGGAATGCTGAAGATCTCCACCCGGTCTTCCATGCCCGGAAGCTCTGGGCCGGTCGCGTCGGGGGCTGTCGTAGGCATGTTTAAGTCTTGCAATCACAGACTCCGGCAAGATCAAAGAGAGAGACAGAGACAGAAGTTGCCGTGATGTTAGCGAAATTCAGGACAACGAGACTTAATCACTTCCAGCGAAGATTAGACCTGACCTTTCATCTTGCCTTTTGCCTCAACAGAGAGACGGGATGCACAATACTAACACAGCTTCGATCCATCACAAGCCGACGGGATAAAACGACTTTGCTTCCCTCATGGCATCATTGCCAGAACATACGACGTCGCAGAGATAAGCAGGGCCCGATGGGATCCCGGCCGGCTAAGTTCTTACCCTGGCCACTCAGAAGTCATGCACCGCCGGTGGCGTCATTCTCCGGCCGAGTTATGACATGGCTTCATATTTTGCCATACACGGAAGTATCACGGAAGTATTCTGGCCTCTGATTAGACGCCAACCTCACAGGACCCGTTAATTCCCCGACTTGTTAGCTCGCATATTCGGGTCATGAGTGTGAGAGTGCGAGACGGACATTTTCCGTGACATGGGCTGATTTTTGGAAAGCAAGCGACGCCGAAATACGGAGGTTCTGATGGACGTTAAATGCCAGGAACTCATTGTAGAGGCTGTCCTGTGCAGACAGCTCAATACAGTTTTCTGTGCAAGCTTTTCATTTGAGAAGAATTTGGCTGCAATGGCGCCCGTATCGCTAGAAGACAACGTGCCTTCAAAGGCAAGAGAGTTGACAACTCGTATCGTTCCCGCCATCGAGGAAGAGCGGAAAACGACGTGGCGGCATTTCTTCTGGGATGCGTGGGACAAGACGCCCGAAGAGAGAAGGCTGATTTTCAAGGTATTCTGAAGTTTTGTGATTGTAGACTTTGCGTCCCCCTCTGATAGGTTTGCTGACTTTGCAGATGGACATCACTCTAATGACCTTTGGATGTCTTGGAACGTTTATCAAGTACGTTGATAGGTAAGGCGCATTATCCGAGCTTTTGTTCCAATTACTGACCGATGATTGACGAACCGTCTAGATCCAACTTGAACACGGCGTTTGTGTCTGGAATGAAAGAGGAAATGTCACTTTACGGGAATGTACGAACTTCTCACACGCAGGAAGCCGAGATGATCACTGTTCTGATAAGAAACAGGAACTCAATTACGCCAACACCGCGTACAGTGTTGCGAACGTAGGAATAGGTCCATTGGGAGGAAATATTTTCAAGGAACGAAGTCACTGACATTTCGAAGATCATAGGACTGTGGCCTGTCAGCATTGCCCTGACTCGTTCGACCCCGAGATACTTCATACCGTAGGTATGCACTCGACATATTTTCCTCTCTACCCAGTACTAATACGGCGTTCAATCAGACTCATGGAAACAGGATGGACCATATGGTAAGAGTATTCCACTACAGCCTGGCAGGCTCTAACATTGAGCAGCACTCTGGGTCAAGCCTTCATGCGTACTCCGCTGCAAATGTAGGTCATGAGATTCTTGTTGGGTCTTTTTGAAACGTGAGTCCCACTCCTCAATCGACGGCAAGATATTTTCAACACTGCTGACTGGCAAGTGGTCATTGGTCCTCAAGTAAGTAAAGCCTTTGGCTATGGACGTGGCAGTAGGTCTGACCTGCTACATAGTCATCTACCTATGCGGTGCATGGTATCAGAAACGAGAACTATCCCGCGTACGTCGAACTGCCAGTGTAACAGCACGCGACGGTCTGAACTGACACTGAGGCTAGAGAATCGCAATCATGAACTGTGCCACATCAATCGGCCCCATGTTTAGTTCGTACCTCCAAGCGGCGGCATACACGGGACTGAATGGTGTTCACGGCCTCTCAGGCTGGAGATGGGTTAGCGCTATAGTAGACAAGGCGGACACAACTCAGAATGGATGCTGACTCGGGGCTCAGCTTTTTATTATTGACACCGTCATTTCCGTCGGAATCATCATCCCGCAATTCTTCTTCTACCCGGATGTCCCGGCGAGACAGCAGCCAAGCATTGTCTTCAGCGAAGCCGTAAGCCAGAGATTCTTTCCGACATCCCCTTTACTTCTAAATGCACCCGCTCAGCAGATGCTGACGAGCTTCTTTGATAGGAGATAGAGCTCGCTCGAGGCCGCAACCCAAAGGAAGGCCGCGTCAAACAGGGAGCCTTTACCTGGGCCCAAGCCAAGCGCTGCGTCACGACCCCGGATATTTTCCTTTTGTGGCTGATTTCTGTGTAGGTTTCAGGTTTCCCTTGCTTGGCACGACAATCGAAGGAAGGGTTGCATGGCTAACCGAATCTCCCTAGTTGCGACTCCGTCGCTCATTTGCCCTCCGACTCCATGGCGTTCTGGTTCAAGGCCTGGAACACCATCAAACCGGGCTCCTATACCGTCACACAGATAAGTAAGCTATTTTCTTCACGAGAAAATCTCAAGTCAAGTACCTGACGAAAGCAGACAACTACACCACTCCTCTCGGAGGCGTGACCGTGATCCTCACGCTGGTATTTGCCTGGTCCAGTAGGTTTACCATAGGTTACCCTACTAGATCTCGCGACTCACCATTGTTCTTGCAGGTGACACTTGGTTGAAGGGCCGTCGCTGGCCAATGTTGGTGGTCGGCGGTGTGGTCACCGGCATAGTTTGCATTCTACTGGCCGCCACGCCCGTCTTCCTCCAAAACAAAGCCTTCAGATGGTTCCTCTACTACAACACGAACTGGGCATTCACTGCCAACACCATGTTTTGGTCCTGGACACACAAGACACACTGTGAGCACCTCTGGGGTTGACGAAGCGGTCTGAGCTGATCATGATGGGGAAAATAGCTCCGGGGACCCCTTGACTAGATCGTTTGCAAGCGCCAGGCTGAACGTATGCAGTTGGACGACTATAGCCGTGGTGTAGGTGCCCCCGTTATCTCATCCATGCTGCTTGAGTACACTACTGACAAGGCACCTACAGACCCCTGTTCGCTTTTAAGACGGTCGATCAACCTGTGGTTATCGGCGGCAACTGGGGCGCGGCGGGGATGGCGTTTCTCTATGCGATCGCCGCCCTCACGCTTGCTCACACTCAGTACAAGCGGGAGAGCAAGAGACTGGAGGCCGAGGTGGAGACGAGCAGCACGGAACACGGTGGTTAATCTGCAGACATTGCTTGATGTTGTCCATGTCTACTCAAAGAGTTGCTGAGTGGGATTCACCTGAATCCTAGGTTTTGAGATCTAGTAAGCTTATTTGGTGATTTCGGGTAGAGCCTCCATACTTGGACCACACTGCAAATGCGGCTGTTGCTACAGAAGAGATCCAGAGGCAAACCAAGGAAGGTTTACTTAGCCCATAGATCGGTCTCGAGGGCACAAGGTAACGGCAACGAATGGAAAATCTCGTCTCCACAGGTAGGCGCACATACACTGGCCACCGTTCGTCTGTTCTTGCGACGGCGGATACAGCGACCATGGCTTTGCGGGGTCTTGGAGACAGGGCTATTGTAGGTGTTTAGTGCAGGCTAGGTAGACTGAAGAAAGAATGATGAGAGAGATTGACGGACGGATTTATTGGTCGTCTGGTTGTCAGCTGTCTTTGGGAATTGTCTTACGATGTGGAGGTATGCGAGGAAATGCAGAACTCCTTATCAAAAGTGTTGGGAACGTCTGCTCGTGCAAGGAAGACAGTGAAGCGCCTGGAATGTGTAATTCGAGTGTTTGTGCTCCCGCAGAGACAGGTATTTGCGAGTCGTTTGAGCTTGACTATCAGCTGCGAAGGTTGCATGGGCAGCTTCGTCTGAAAACAACTGTGATGGAGAAAGGCAATGAGCGCGGGATATGCAGAGCACACGCTTGACAAACAAGTCCATACTTTGTCTACTTGGGCCGCCAAACGCAACGATAGGAGGCAAGGACGAAGATGGAGGAGATTACAGTCAAGTGATGATGGTGTCTTGACGGGAGCACATCGTTCCGCAACTCAAGTTTGTATGGGAGACACAGGTTTCGTCGAGTGTACGATCCAAATGATTGATGCCCTCAGCCAGAAGAACTGGGTTCTCGCCCTGCTATCGTGGCGCAAAGAAGCAGAGCTGTCGAAGGTGGATACACGAGACGTCGGGAGTCTTGAAACGCTTTACTAAGGGCATTGATTCGCATTCCTGATGATCTTCGTGGGGAGACGGCAGCTCTCAACCTAGTCTGGCTCGTCGAGGGCCAGGAGGGTTTCTCGGGTGGATTGGTTGAGTTCGTCGATGCTCAGGAAAGAGGGGCACTGGTTATCGGTCGGTTCTCGCCGGGGGTTGATATTAGAAGGTGTCGTCTCGGATTGTCGAGTGAATTGGATCAAGGTGTCGATGCGCTTGCAAGGGAGATGGGATCTCAACCTGTGCTCGTGGAAGAGGGATTGTCGGGAGTATTGATTCGAGTTAACAAGATGCCTGCATGATGAGTGTTCCCGATGGCGGGAGTGTCAGTAGGAGACAGAAGAAGCAAATAAAACAAAGGAAAGGTACTTTGGCCAAGGCTCCTTGTTGATGGCACGAGACAGCGGCAATAAAGGGGGGAAAGTCGCGGCGGGGGGTGCAGCGAACATGGTCGGCATCTGCATTTGTGCCTCCCGGAGTGACGGGGCTGATGTAGTTGTTTCGCACGGAAAGAAGAGGGAACGATGTGAAAGATTGATGGGATGAGAGGGACTCGGACGACGCTGAGGTTCGCCCCGGTGGAGGCTGGAATTCGATGGAGAGGCCCGGGCAGGTACATGGGCAAGGCGCCTGCCATGTCACTTACCTGTCAAGCATGGTCCAAAAGTAGGAGCGCATCGAACGGGGCCGAGTGGGCTGCATGCAAAAAGAGTTTCTGGGAAGGCACAAAGAGGGGAATGGTGACTCAGGCAGGTAGGTCCTCAACCCAAGATCAACAGGAAGGAAGGTGGGGGAGGGGGGGACAGGTGCAGTATCGGCAGGCACGATGGCCAAAATCACAATGTACTGGAGCTTCGCGGGGCGGACGAGTCAACCTCATCCACTGGACGTCTTTTGAAGCGCTCGAGGCTGTCGGCAAACCCGATTACACCGTTCAGCCCCCTCAAAAGCTCTTCGAGTTCATCTTTGCTGGATCCTTGCAATAGTGCCTTGGTTTTGGCAGTTGAGTTCCTCGCCGCCCCCTTGGCCTTGACTTTGGTAGAATCATTTTCGCACCCTCTCCCGCGGACCCCCGTGCCACTAAGACGGCAGCCCAAGTCTCGAAACTATCCGAGGAACCCTTGCGCGCGGTCGGCGAATCAAAGGACATGTTTAGAAATCTCGCTGGCCCCAGCCATTGCCGTTCGGAGGGATCGAGACCCAAGCTTTCGGATTGCTGCTGCGGCTGGATATTCCGACACGGTGGGCAGTCTCTCGTCATTTTTTGGAGACAGCTCGCAAAACCCGTGCACTCTTTGCCGAGAACTTCGCAGCAAACAATCATCTTCAAGCACATCAGCCTTGCACACACCCTCTTGGCTCACAACACTCCTTTTGCCGTGGCGATTATGCTTTCTGTAATATTCCAATGCACTGCGCGTCACATTCGCAATGCCGACTTTGCAAGTCACCGAAGCACCTCTCTGGCTAGGTAGGTACCATGAGATGACTCCCGATTTCAGCGCTGAAAATCGGGAGGTATCCACTGCACTACCGCTGGGCTTACAGGGGGTACCTACCGATTCTAGCGCTAAAATCGGGAGGTACCCTCTGTGGATACAGCGGGCAGCCTACAGTGCCCGGGTACCCTCCATCCCTGAACAACGGAACGGTGCAGTTCATGCACAACAAACCTCCCTTACTACCAGTCACCATACCATCGACGAAGCCAAGGCATCAACCAGTCCGTAGAAAGATGCTCCATCAATGTCATCATGTCCCCTTCTCACCACATTCTATACCATCCCCAAGTGTTGTTGCTTCTCAAGATTGTCTGCTGTGCGCCAGTTGTCGAGGCACTGAACTATTTTTCGAATGGTGGCATTCTAATGGCAACACCGGCTGTGGGCATGGAAATTCAGACACGAATATCCAAGCTTACAATGCCTACTATTACTTCCAAAACAATGGTGCAGGTGATACTCGACATCTGCCAAGTGACAGCTGCATCGCCAACATCGAGAGCTCTTGACGCACCATACGCCCGTAAACCTCTCGCAGTCTTCTGGGCTATGCTCCCGACGGACCACCTCGAAGAAGATGAACACGACCTATTGAGAAACAACTAACTGCTCCCACAGTCTACAGCAAAGAACTAGGTCGACCGGATGGTATTTCATGGGACCGAGGAGAACAAGATTGCATAAATAATAGCGGACGCGTAAGAACACCATTGTTTCGCTAGCTAGCAGAATGAGAGTCGTTGATCTGGGATTGAACGGCAGGGCCGGAGGTTATGTTTACTTGGCACTCTAGACGGCAGTGTGCCTCTTCTCTGACCCATTCCGTTCTCTATTTGTCGACCCAGTGCCGCCGTTGCAGCTTTTGCTCAGCTGATATATCTGATATATCTGATATGGCCACATGCTTGCGTTCAAGCTCGGTCCTGGCATTCTTGCTGTCGACAAGGGTGAGCTAGCAAGCGTAGGAGATGATGTCCCAGGCCGAGAGGGTGAGTCCAGAAGCAGAGACTAGATCCCATCTCATGGAACTTGGCCCATCATTCCGAAGTCTCCAACCGGCATGGTACTCCAAAAGTATGCCCTTCGGATCCCTGAATAAACGCGATCGGCTTGGCTTGATCACCGGGCAGCGCGGCAGACGACGTCTTCGGTCTAGTACTCCCAGAGGCTTCTCTCATCGAACCCTTCACTTTGGCGCTTCTCGTCTTGATTTCTTCGGCTAAAAGGGAAGCGAACATTCTCAGGGCAGTCGCAATTATTCGCTAGCTCTCTTGTTGTTTGAGTCGGCAGCTGAATATTGACTTGGAACCCGGTGAAAGTGAAAGGTTCTTGATTCATCTGCGAAAGGAATCATCTAGCCAACTCGCAATCTCAAGCCTGCGCCCCAACGCAATGCGAAAGAATCAACTCGATCCCCAAAAAGCTAGCAATCTGGGTTGATGCGAATCATCTGGGACTGTTTCCCTGCGACTTGGCTAGACGCGAGCCGGGCAGAGCCGTGTCCTGCAACAAGTTGCCACCAAGTCACTGAAGCGATGGTGTGACCACCCATTTTCCCTGCGACAGCCCAGGATGCTAGCTTCGGCAATATGGCGGAAGCTCCATCATCACCATCGTCATGTTCGGCGTGGGTATCGTACGGGATCTTAAGCCTAAACGCTAAGAGAGTAGGCCTGTTACCAAGGTTGCGCTCTCAAAAGGGACTGCTGAGTTGGTACACCGTCATGCTTCGAATGGCGTGGACAAAGGCCAACCTAAGCTTTGCACTCAAGAAGTCCAGAATGATCTCTCAGTCAATTATTCATGTCAGAGCATCATTTCCTCCCCGTCAGGGTCCCTTCCAACGCAAAAAGGCCGAGACACATACGTAATGGCTGGGATGGTCTACTTGGACAAACTCAGCATGTCGTCAAGCCATCTCGCTCTCAGAGTTCCATCGGGCAGTGTGACAAAAGACATGCCAGACGCGGAAAGCAAAATGAGCAATCTTTCACCACAGAGTGTTTCATTCAGGGCATCAACTTTCGAGACCACGATTCCAATGATTTGAAATGGCTCTTCTTGAGCCTGAGTCTGCTCCCACTGTTCATAACCAAGTATAGATGGATGTGCGGCTTCGAACTCAGCTTCAGGGCAACCGCCATTCCGTATGCTTCTCTTTACAAGACCATAGAGCACACATATCCTGCAGGCAACCCCGCATATTTTCTTAGATCGGGTGCATGTTTATTGCGAGAGGAAATTGGCCGTATCCCTGCGCCCCGAGCGATGTCTCGGAAATGGTTTTGACAGACCATTGGATACTTTGAGCGGCAGACAATCTCTGCGACTGTCGGCCAAGAGATCGGAAGATTCCAAAAGATGACTGGACTGTCGCATCACCTGGGACGGGGAGATAAACACAGTCTCAGGGATAACGGTACTTCGATATCATCGAACGTGATGATATTTGTCAGCATTTCGGCACGCGTCTGTCTCACGAGAGGTCATATTCCGTTGAAAACAAGCA